GTATTCAAATCGAAACTCGAATATAATAAGAAAATATTTTTGTTAGGTACTTACAAAAAAAAAAAAAAAAATTAAAAGTGAACGAAGGGAGTAATAGAAGTGGAAAAAATTAAAACATGAAAATATAATTCGTCCAACTGTATTAATTTGTGGTGGTGGTGTTGGAGGGGTAGGGTAGATGAGTTATTAATATGCATATTTATTAATTCGATTCATTTAAATTCATTCAAATTCAGGTCATGCCAAAGTTGAGCTGACTTAAATTATGTATATACCTTAAATTGATTTATGAAATTTTTTATTAAAATATTTAAACAATATTTTGAGAGAAAGGAAAAAAGTTTTATCAATCTTGTTGGTATAAATAAATTATAAGAAAATAAATAAATTTAGTAAGAATTGGCCGTAGTGAATTATAATCTATTAGTTAGTCAATTTTGACACAGGTAAATTTAGACATAATTGGAGGGTCATTTGTACTTTTGTTCCTATTTTGTGTTGATTTATAATTTTTGTCTCTTAAACTAAATAACTTTTTTGTAGCGTATAAATTTATAATATCATATATATATATTATAAATTATCACTCACATTTTAAAAAAAATTATGTCCCACTAGATATACGTTTAATTATTAAGTGAGACAAATTAAAATTAACTGGTTTATTTAAAGGGTAATAAATCATATCATTAGAAGATAGGAATTGGAATGATAATACATTCATCTATGCAATCATTTTGATTGGCTTAAATTTAACTTTATCACCTGTTTAGCACCTGTACCTACTAATTATCACATGACAGTTTATACAAAAATTAACATAATAAGAATATGAAAGATGATAAGTGTTCTTGTTTATAAGTAGTCAGAATTTTCATGAAGAAATAATTAAATATACATCAAAGAAAATTTAACATCGATTATATATACATAAAATAATTTTAGTTATATATAAATAATATAATTTCTATCAAAATGAATATAAAAAATTGTGTTCGATCTTCGGTGGCGGAGCTAGGATTTTTAATAAGGGGTTCAAAATCTGAAGAAGTAAACACATAAACTAATCAAAGGGAGTTCAAAATATACTATATATGCATAAAAAATAATTTTAATCACGCATAAATAATAATATTTTCTCTGAAGAGGGTTCAAATCCCCTAACATTATGTTAAATCCGCTTATGTTGACCCTATCTAACTCCGCCCCTAGAAAGATGCTCATCTTCATTGTAATATGATCCTCAAGCTAAAGAACAAATATTTATCTATCTATATACATGTCCTTTCCTGAAAATTTAATACATCTTATGAAATTGATGGATTATTATTTATTTATCTAACCAACCGAAAGCAAGATAAATAGTTCCATATTTTATCTCATGGGATTACTATTCGATCCCGCATATCAAACGAGCCAGTCTTTCACAAATTTATATTACTGTGATGCATAGCTCACATAGGATTCCAACGAACTTGTTACGTTTCAATAATATATTTTTTCAAGTCTTTCACAAACTTATATTATTGTGAATTGTGATGTATAGCTAATATACGATCCCAACAAACTTGTTACGTTTCAATCATATATTTCTTCTTCTTTTTAAAATGTGACACATAGGCCTCTGCCTGTTCGTGAATAATTGGAGTTACTAATTTTCGCATGGATATCATTGAAAGATTCCATGGATGGAGGAGGAGCACAAATACTTTAGTGAGAACGTGTGAGAGATTGGCTAGATTTAAGGAGAAGGAGATGTGGATCGAAGAAGAACTAAGAAAAAGTGATTAGACAGTACATGACATCTTTAACTCATCAAATATATGAACCTAAATAAAAAAATATTGTGGTCAAATAAGATAAACGGTTAGTAAGTAAGCGAGGTGGGGTGCAAGGATATAGCACCCCCAATTGTACATCAAAAAAATTTATTCGGACTCGATTCATACAACAAAATAAATAGGTTCAGATCATGTATATTTATACATAAGAATTATCATTTAATTATAATTAAGTGATAGTAGTATGTATTTTAACTCAAATTTATTATTTAAATATAACAAATTAGGTAATTAGCATAATTATTGGTATATCGATTCTACGACTTATTGTCAGTAATATTTTAGTTGCATAATCCTTTTTACAGAGATGATCTCTAAGAAATAATAGGGGCAACTGCTAATTAAAGTACAATTATTATTTTTTTGCAACTTATTTCTTCATTCAAATGGTAGCATATAATAAGATATCACTTTCTCTACTATTTTCTTTTATTCGAAGTCTAATATTTTTTTATTTGACAAATTCAAATTCACACGTCTATTTTTTTGGGATACAATGTGATTCCATATCTATGACTTGAAATCTCTTATCAAGTATGGAAAAATGCATACCATTCTAGTTCTACTATAACCGTTAAACATTATGAAAGCATTACTTAATGATGTGTTACTTCCTCTATTTATCTTTACTTGTCCAATAAACTAAAAATAATTGTTTAATAATATTTATTCAGTTTAAAAAATCAAGAGATAATTTACTCTTTAGGGGTCGTTTGGTAGGCCGCATTAGAAGAAATAGTACATGTATTATGTACGGTATTATTTAGTACTATGTTTGGTAGAAATTTGGCCTATATATAACTAATCCATTGTTTAGTTATATCTCCTACATGGTATTATATGATGTATTACTAACACCTTCCATTTGGAGGTATTAGTAATACATAGGATATAATACCATGGGATAAGTCTATGTAAAGACAAAAATATCCCTCAAATCATTTTAATTATTTTGTTTGTTTTCTTGATTTTATGAATTATATTTGTACAAGTAAATTTATTTAAATAAATTAGCTTACAAATTATTTAGAGAGAGTCGTTTGTTACTAAATAAATCCAATACAAATTTGAAATGTGAGTTGTTTATTTGTGTGGTTTTCTAATTATTTATATTTTGAACAATTTAAAAAATTACATACATATTAAAACTACAACTTGCCATTTTTATGTGTAATGTAGATGGTTTATTCAATTTTACCATTGTTGACCGTGTTTTCGATTTTAAAAGTAGATGAGTTATATTTTTAGAATTTAAAAATGACATTTTTTGAGTGATCAATTTATTAAGATGACAATTATTTATCCTCAAATAATTCAAGTAAAAAAATAGCAAACATGACAACAAAATTGTTCTTCTCATAGCTAGTTAGAAGGTCATAAAAATAATATTGTCCGGCAATTATCTACCTTGACCTAATTACATAATAATTCAAGGGTGTAATTGGAAAAAAAGCTTTTGATAGAGTTTTAATCCAAACACAAGATGAGGTGGGAAAATAATTAACCAAACACTTGGTAAAAATAAACCTTACCTTACTAATCCCTGCATTACTAATTCTTGCGTTATTAATCTTTGTACAAACGATCCCTTAGTGTCTATATCTAATACACTTTCAAAAGCATTAAATTTAATACTATATTCAAAAAATAATATAGTAACATTACCTTTATTATTTATCATTTCTTAAAATTTGTGTCAAGTCGATAATGGATAACTATATTGTTGGATAGAGGAAGTACAGAAAAGTGATCTAATTTAATCTTAAGTCGAAGTAAAAACAGTATATTTGTTGTCGCAATAAATTGAGCTTTAAATATCTTCTTTCATGCGTTTTAATGTAAATTTTAATGGAGAACTCAATTATCTGAACTTTTACTTTATCGACAAGAGTTTGATTATTTTTTTTTATAACAAACAAAGGCACCCACTTGCAACTTTGTAGATTGAATAGGAACTAAAAATAGGTGGACAAGAATCACGAGGATCATCAAGTCTCTATTAAATTTAATACCGACTTTGCAACTTGTAGCCACAAATCCCTTCTAACAATATTCAATGCCAAAAGCCAACAATAGAGCTGAGGTGAGAAACAGCAAAGCCTCTTGCAACTTGCCTAAATAAATTATTCAAATATTTCCAACTTGCATATAAAAATTATTCAAATATTTGCAACTTGCTGCTACTATTTATTTTATTGATATAGATAGATAAGCTAGTTGGTTTCTTTTTAAAAAATAAAAATAAAAAAATTACTAAAGTCACCTTCCAACTTGCAGAGTATCTTGTTTGATTCTACACCATGTTCTGTTATCTTTTTTTTTTAAAAATAAAAAATAAAAAATTATTGTTTATTTTAACTATATATACATAATGTGAACACACTTTCCAAAAAAAAAATAGTTATTACCCCTCTGTTCCAATTTATGTCATTTGTCCCAATTTATGTGACTTACTTTTCTTTTTAGTCAATTTCAAAAGAATGAAACATTTTTATATTAAGTAACAATTTAACTATAAAATTTATATTTTACCCTTTATAAATAATTTACAGCCACACATTCTATCATTTATTTTGGACCACAAGTTTTTTTTAAAATTTTTTTCTTAAACTCCGTGCCGAGTCAAACTACCTCACATAAAATGAGACGAAGAGAGTACCTATTATTTGTGAGTTTTACCTTTAATAAGCGAAGGAAAAGAAAAATAACCACAAAACGTGGAAAAAAACGTATTTACTTGTTCCGTACCATATTAGTTAAGTACCTATTTTCCCTTAATCGATAAGTACTTACTTATTTAAATTAAAATTGAAAGGGTGTATTGTACTACGTACATTTAATTTTGTCTTAGTTTAGGTACCTATTGTGATTACTTAATTTAATCTAATTGCCTTTTAGGAATTATAAATGATCAAGTTTAGCTGGCTAGTAACCATTGGGTGTATTCAAGAGTCGGCTAATTCATGCATGTGCACTTTCAACTTAATTGTTGCTTATACATCAAATCATTTTTGTTCATTCTTTTGTTGCGATTAAGCTATGTATATTCAATATATTTAGCTCTAAAAACAAATCAAATCAAATCTTAGACGATTATTAAAATTAAGATATCTGAATCTATCTCACACCGTAGTAAAGAAATCGATAAAGAAAACAATATAGACAAAATTATAGAGTATGAAATTAATTAAGCAAAGTACAAGATTAATTTGATCAAGAACTTATCTTCAACAAGGGATGACAAGGAGATTAACACACACCTAATAAAGGTGCAACGAAACAATCATGCATCGCATATGATATCATCAGATCATCACCACAAGCATCATCAATTAGTTGTCTTCATTAATTCCGATTCCGCAACCTGTTTCTCGAACTCTTCAAAATATGAATATATGTGAATCAAATTCTTCAAAAATACTACCTACAGTATGTATTTTTGAAATATCTGACACGAATATGATAAAAATGAAGAGTCAGAGCAACTTGATCCGCAATACATTTTCAAAATTCACGAAGATTTTCATCTGCTTGAATTCCGTGCGATCTGAGATAACGATTGAAGGTTGCATTTCACGATTGTATCCACAAAAACGCATGTCTCTTCTCTAGTATTACCAGGCGGTACATCAACGACGTACGATTCCACAACGATCGTATCCACCGCCGTCGTCGCCGCTCCATTGCCGGAGCTCGGTTCCGTGTGAAGCGTAGTCACAGATCGGTAATTCGCTAACCGGTGGTCCCCGCCGACAACGCTAAAACTGATGACGTGGCGTTCGTCGTCGAGGATCTCAAGCCTCTCCGTGCTACTAGCAGCAGGGAGACCGGAAATCACACGGACTTCCCGTAAAGTACCGACGTCACCGTCGCCAACAACAACATGACAGCTCTTAACAAAATGCTTATACGCCTGCGGATTGTCGAATCGGCGGACCACCGACCATACGGTGGAGACGGGAGCTGAGATCCGCTGAATCACGGCGGAGCAGCACTGGTCAGGACTTACAGTGTGAGTATGGTACCGGGAAACAGAATCGGGTACTTCCGTCGAACAGGGAATCGGCATGCGCCTCTGTAATTGATGATGAGATTCCTTGTAAGCAAAGTCATGAGTATTGTTAGAGCTAATTCGTTGGAGTAAAACAGATGAATCTGAAGAACTGGGAGGCATTTTTTTGTTGCTAATTTGAAAATTGAGAGAAAATGAAAAAGTGGTGATGATTTCTTCTCTCTTGTGTTTTATAGGTGTGATTATGTTGTATATATATATAGGGTAGAAAATATAGAGGTAATTAAGAGAGAGTTGGTTGAAGTTGCGAAAAAGTAATAAAAAAAGAGATGGGCGTTCACCGTTCACGTGGGTTGACAAAAAAAGTGGGGCTAGTGGGAGCAAAAAAATGAGATCAAGTTGGTGCATAAAAAAGAGGGCTAAAGGGGTACAGGATAAGATACTGCACCCAGGTGGGTAGCGATAATGAATTTTTCAATGGCATTACAAAAGAATCGTGTGATGAGCTCGATTAAAAGTCGGAGAAATTAATTTTGAATTATGAATATAAATAAAATAATACATAAATGTGTTTTTTTGATTTTATTTCATATTTATGTCCTTCAAATTTATGTGTGCATAAGTAGACACTTAAATTTGAGTAAAATTTCACAAATAGACACATGAGTTTTATGTGACATAATACATACTGAACACCCGTAGGTCACAAATTGCATGAGGATGTAGCATAGGGTGTGTGTTTATTTGTTCATTTTATACAAGTTTAAGTATCTACTTGTGTATATCTAAAGATGGAAGACATAAACGTAAGCTAAGAGCCTATGACCAAGTTAAATGATATATTTATGTATTATGTCATTAAATAATCATTCTCTAAACCAATTGAGTCATCCCAAAAGGAGTGTTTCAACTTATTTATAACCCTTCTCCTCTCATCTATTTCCATCTTTATTCTTCTTTATTTCGTTCATTTGTGTATAAAATTCTTTTTAATTTTAGTGTTAAAAAACTATTTTAATTTTAATTTTTATTACATTTAAAAAAATATATTTTAAGAAGGATGATATTATAACAAGGTCAATGACAAATCAAGTCTTCAATACCCACCAAAGTCAGACTCTTCTGCTTTACCGCAGAGATTTGGGGAACCAATCATCTCCCTCAATTCTATATTTCTAAGATTTAAATAACTTATACGTATAGGAGGAGTTAAAATCTAAACTTTGTAAGTTTAAATTTTAATTATTTCAAACTATTGATTCTAACTAAATAATTTATACGTAGTTAATAAATTTTCTAAACATTAAATTAGAATTGGACAAATTCGCAAATTCTATACTAGCTCTGTCCATATTGTTCATAGATTCTTCTCTACTATTTATTATTCTTATAGCTTTCTGAATTTTTATACATAAATTTATATTTTGTCTCAAAAGTTATGAATTCAATTAAACGAATAGCTATAATAATAATAATAGGTTCATCCTTGAACCCCACCATACATACACTCTTTAGATAAACCACTTTTTGTTGTTTATTGTGAAAACTACCATTGGAATTACCTTATGATATCCACTCATATGGTATCTATCTCTTGAGATATTCCAATTGGGTTGGCCACTTTTCTCTAAGCTCAACTAGTTAATACTCCCTCCGTCCACAATTGTTTGTCAGGGTAAGGTCATGCACGTTTCTCAAGAAAAATTTAATACAATGTGTAATTTGACTAATATAACCCTACAATACCAAGAATACCAAAAGTCCACATAACTTTTCAATTGAACTACACTATCATTAAGGGCAGAATTGGAAAAAAATGACTAATTATTTCTTGATTGTTTAAATTGACAATTAATCTTGGACATCTATTTTTAGTATACCTGCAAAATAATTGTGGACGGAGGGAGTACTTCCTTCGTTTCAAAAATAATGACCTCCTTTCTTTTTTAGTCTGTTTAAAAAAGAATGACCTCTTTTTTTTTTTGGTAACATTTTAATTTAGCTTTTCACGTGACATGTTTAAAGCCACAAGATTGAAGGGCAATTTAGTACATTTGACATAACTTTAATTTAGGACCACAAGATTCAAAATTCTTCTTTATTTTCTAAAACTTTATGTCAAGTCAAACCATATCACTCTTTGTGAAACAGAGGGAATAATTTTATATAGGACATACTATTGTAGATGAGAAATTCTATCTCTACTGTCAACTCTCTAGTAGATAACATTCTTAGGTCATGTACTTATCTTTTGTACTTATCATTTTGAGCCAAAATATATGATGTTCGGAATTTAGATCTGATCTGATTAATTTAATTTATATGATATAAAATTCATTAACTAGTCAATATATCTACTTTTAACAGAGATCTTATAATATTTCCATCCTAATTCAAACAAATACAATTTCATTATGATATCTACTATGTTAACCACTTAAATCATACCATGTAACAAAGGTAAAAAATATTATATATAAGATATTGATAACCCCTTGATATGAGGGGATTCAGAAGTTATATCATGTCATTGGTTTGAATGATTGAATCTCAAGTCTGACGTTTTAAATCGCGTCAAATAAAATTCTAACTCTAATATATATATATATATATATATATTATAGGGAATTGAATGAACAATTTATATTGTTTTTGATATCACGAAATCCCCTAATAAAGGGAATGCATCCCTTTCTGTTTTGTGTTTATACGGAACATCTATAAGGAAGTACATAGAGGAATAAATTATCTTGCTATAATAAAAGTCGATAATATTAACTACGTATATAACCTAAGCTCAATAAAATATGCTAAGAGAAGGTGGGAAATGACATGCTAACAGTGTCTACCATATGAAGTTCCTGGGGTGATGTTTTGGCCACCACTCAACAAACTCAAATATATTTTTCTATTAGCAATAGGCAATTTTTTTTAACAAAAATAATAATATTAATTAGCTATTGACTCAATTATTTAAAAAAAAATATGAATAACTTATGTTTTCCAAAAGTTGGTGACATCCAATCTAGGCGCATTAAATGATAAAATAATAAATAAAATATAATATGGGCATGTCCTTGATATATATTTTGTTGGTGAATACCTCAAGTGGATGAAATAAAATAAATTAAATTCCAAATGGAAGTTTTATAATAGTTGGAGGATGATTTTTTTTTTTTCAATGTCACATGGTTCCTTCCTAAAGTCTTCTATATACTTTCAATTCCCTTTCGCTTGGTCCTTTGGTACTTTTTCTGCACTTATTGATAAGAGTAGATAAAAATAATAAAAGAAGAAATGAAAATAATAATAATAATAATAATAATAATAATAATTATTATTATTATTATTATTATTTGTTTTAGTTTTGAGAATCGATCATTTCCAGATTTTATATGAAAATATGAAGGAGATAACAAAATAGTATGTTAGTCAAATAAAAGGAGATAAAAAAATGCACTTAAATCAATTAAATGGACTTAAAAATACAACCAACAAATAAAAGGTGATAAAAAAACATGCACTTAAATTAATTGAATGAACTTAAAAATACAACCAACTTGAGCTGGTTCTCCACTAAAAAAACCATACGTTGTAATTTTATTGGAATATTATATTATAGTGATAGTTTAGTTTGACATAATATATAAATGTCTTTTAATTTGGTTTTAGTTGATATTTACGCTCTTCAACTTTGAGTGTGCACAAGTAGGCATTTAAACTTGTATAAAATTGAATAAATGGACACATTCGTCCTACGTGACGTCCTGCATGACACATTTTGCATCCTACATGTATTATGTCATGTATAACGTATGTGTCTACTTGTTAATTTTTTTATAAATTTGAGTGTCTGCTTGTGCACGTCCGGAGTTGATGGGCATAGATCTCAACTAAAGCCAAGTTAAAAGACATATGTATGTATTATATCGTTTATTTTCTCATATTATAAGATTATTATAATCCAACTATACGACTATTTGCTTTTCGGATATATGTAGAGGCAATATGACGGTAAGCGTTGGGACAGTTATAGAAAAATACAAAGACAATTTTGTAATGAGAATACAATAAGGATATGCTGTTTAAAAATTATTGTATAATAATTGGAATAACATATAATTGTATAATGTAATTACAATGAAATTTTTAGCTTCATGTTTGATTGAACAATTATAATTATATCATTTAATATTCTTACACTATTAAAATAAGTTAATTCTAAAGAATCAAATATTTTTTTCCTGATGAACATGTAAATAAGTTTTAATGTATGAGTAAGAAATATAAAAACAAAAGAAGAAGATATAGTTGTAATAATTATACTTTGTAATAACCAACAACTTCTTGCTCGTAGAGTATATTGCCCCCTCAATTACACTTAATTTTATACTGATTATAGTAATTACCTTTGGCTTTTGTAATAACCACCAATTTTTTGCTTCCCTTGAAAATTAGAGAGTATAATCCTTCCCTCAATTACACCTGATTCTATACTAACAAAGTAATTACCAAATATTTACACCTAAATTTGGAACCTTCCAAACAAGCCCTAAATAAGAAGTCACATTACTTTAAAAAAAAAATAATATGTATTCTTTGACATTCAAAAAGAAAAGTCAGTATGTATTAATTTTTTTGGACTAGAAGATGTTGGTCAAATATGATGAAGTTGAAACTATATTAGTATTTCCCACGAAGTTCGGTAATCGATATTCATATTGAATTTCAACAAATCCAGATTACCACATTGCAGTGCCCATTTCTGATGTTAGTTGTCACGCCCCAAACTCAAGGGGCGTAACTGGCTCCTAATGCCAAGACTCAGGCACGAGCCGATCCTGTTGAACCATTTGCTACTAGCGCATGGCAGACACACACAATCAAGGAAATAAACTAGTATATCCCGGCTTAAAACTAAGCCATCGGCCGGTAAGGCCCCTGTCAACATATATATAAAAGAAATAGCTACTCCCAAGAGTTCATTTAAAGAAATAGGCAACTAGCACAGAAGTCTTGACTGGGCCGTCGAGGCCACAATGATAACTATACAAAAACAGGAAGCAGGTATATATCAAGACAATACATCAAACAGCTCACAAGCTTCAGCAAACCAACAAAACTAGGCCAACATGGCCATAACCTAGTTGTACACCCCATGCACTAGTCTGCAAGCCTCAAAGAGTAGTAAAGATTAGTGGGACAGGGCCCCAGCCTACCCATA